TGCACCGTTCCCGTGTACCGTTATCGCTGTCTGCCCCTGCCCCTTCCCTAGACCCGTGCACCGTCCCCGTGCACCATTATCGCTCTCTGCCTTGGTCCCCTCCCTGTCCACTTCCTGTACCTGCCCGTGCACCCGTGCACCCTGCCTGTGTACCATTTTCATTCGCTCTCCCGTCGGGCTCTCCCGTCGGCTCGTTCCACTCCCGTCGGCTCCGCGATCCCTCCGTACACGGCTTCCTCTTTGTTTGCTCTTCCCGGACGCGTCGGCTTCGTTATCGCGCTCTCGCGGCTTACCGTTCTGAACGAGAACCCAACCCCAGAGGGGTTTTTGGGAAAAAACAAAGCACACGAAAGAACGCAGCGTATATCTGCTGGCTGTACAGGCTGATAGTCTAGAAGCACTAGGCTGTTTCAGCTAAGCACGGGTGTTTCCGTGCAGAACGCAGCTGCAAGCAGGTCTCGGCTTCTCAGAAACAGAGACAAGACAAGGAGAAGCAGCAGTTTCAGCCACCTTTCAGAGGCTCACGGAATCGTTGAACTCTTCCTTCGTCATCACCGGAGTGCCATGTAGTTTCCGCTGGATTTCCCGAGTCAAGGCGCTTTTTCCAGCGGCGATGTGCTCCACTGTCATGGCGGCTGCGCGTTTCAGCCTCTTCTTGCTCTTGCTGGACGACGCCGCCATCCTTCTTGAGCAGCAGATGGGAGTACCAGCAGGACATATGTATGTGACAGGAGGTTTCCAGCAACGCAGGTCAGGAAGAGTATTGCACACAAAGATGATGGGCGCGACTGAAATGGTCGTTGTCTGGGACGTGCAGGTCGTGCAGGAAGTCCCATACCTGCAGATGGTTTCTGGCTCGTCTGCGGTCAAACTCGCGCTTGCTTTCGCCGGCCATTTCAGTGACAACCGGCACCAGACTGGCTTGACATGTCACTGTCGTGGCAACATCTAGGAGCCCTATAAGGTAGGTCGCCGCCAGAGTGTGTGGGCGATAGACTGTGGGAAGCCCGACAGCGGACGGCCTATTGTCTGATGCCGATCCTTTACTGGAACCTCCAAGTCCAGTCGCTCGAGCAGTGCTGGGTCCTGAAAGGCTTGCGGCTCTGGCGTGGGGCTCGGGCCGTCTGGGCCGAAGTTAGGTCCTGTTGTCGCTGACTGCTGTGTGATGCTGTGTGCCAGTCTTGCTCTCTGGCTCTTGCGAACCTGTAAAGAAACGACGTAGCTCCGCAGAGCTCAGTGAGGAATCTCCGGTCCCTGCGAGGTCTCTGGCGAAGTCGTTTGACTGGGCCCTCGTTTGCGCTTGATGTGGCGCGGTGTCTGCACCACTGCTCCCATCGCTGGCGAACCTGGCACCGTGGTCGCCCAAGAAGGCCTCCCCGACAGCGGCGTCGGGCTCGGCGAGTCCAGCTGAGTGGCCAGCTGCGTCGGGACATCCCAAGACATCGGACTGTCAACAGACATGGCGAAGCACCTACGACAAAATGCTTTGGTGCTCTTGATCCTAAGAAGAGGCCGGGATGGGTCGCCTGGCCAACATGTGAAGCACTCGGAACTGCAGAAAAGGGTGGTGACAGCATGTGCAGGACCGCACGTGTCTTGCTGCAACACGACTAACACCACCAGCATCACCACTGCTTCGCACATCATCGACTGTACTATCGACTGTCATAGATGGAGCAGCGCACCTCAACGGAGTCTTTTGCAGCTTCGGTGAGCAGGGTGCTCCTTAGATCCCTGATTCAATGCAATGCTATATGGGCTTAGACTCACGCAACTCGGGCAGATTAGGGTTTAGGGTTAAGGCGGCCATCTTACCAAGAAGGGCCAAGACTCGACTTGGCGATGGCACCTCGCTGGCTGTACACCGGTGCTGTGTTCAGAAAACGCGCTCTCACAAGTAGCCAGCACTAGCTAGCTGATCTGCATGTGCGACAAGAGGCCCAAATGAAAGCAGGCATCCTGAGATCATTCACAGTGCAAAAAGCATGTCTTGACCTGACTGTGCCTTGTGTATAGAGCGCCTACTGGTAAGCCTTCCACTGAGACTTGACTTAGCAACCTGAGATCCCCAAGGGCGGAAAGATGACAGCAAACAGTGGCAGAGACAGGCAAGCATCTGGACTCCAAGTGGAGCTGCGCTGGAAATCATCCACCACTAGCTCGTCATCCTTGCTCTCCTTCTTTGGCAAGACGCTTGAAAGAGAGCATGCCGTGCTGACACCTCGGGGCCATCGAGCACAGTACCACAGTGCCATACAAGTAGCGGACGGTGTGGCGCCATGCATCCAAGCGGCTCGCGATTGTCCGCTCCTCCATCGAGCGCGACTTCTGCATCTTCTTGCCGCACGTGTCACTCATTTGTCGCGACAGCGCAGAACGCCAAGCACTTCGCCTCAGAAAATGCAAAATGTTTCGAGTTCGTCATGTACGACAGCACAAACGGCTGGACACAAGATGTCGGAACTGTGCATCACCCGTCCAGCAAGCTTCTGTGCTACCCTGGCCGAAGGGATCTGAGGGTGTAATATCTGAGCGGCATGATGCCATGGAAGTGAGATTCAGCTTCCTCCGTCTGCAAGCGCTCAGCGAGCTTGCTGCGTCGAGCTTGGCTGCTGCACAGAGCCTTGTAGCCGTCATGGCCCTGTGCAGCTGCCTTTAGCCTAAGAGGCCGACATGAAGCGAGAGCGAGTTCGTCGCATCGACGCGCTTTGCAGCTCCTTTCATGTCGTGGCCTCTGTGCATCCCGCCGAGTTCCGGGCAGCTCGGGCACAGGGATCTGGCTAGAGACATCCTCAGGCAAGCTCACGATGCTCGCGTGTGAAAGATGACAGGCTTTCGCACATATCTGTTAACCTTCTCGTAACATCGCACAAGAACCCTAGATGAGCACCTCATGGACGACATAATCCCCACTGCGACAAGGCTTACCAGACCGTACGACAACACATGACACAGAATGCCTCGTGATGCTGCACTACACTACGCCCGCTCCTGTTCTGTGATGTTGTCTTGCCTTGTCCCGTGTCTCGTAGACGCTCCGTGCCGTGACTGTGGTCGGGCCACCAAAAGTGGCCACCTGATGCCCTCATGTAATTGTTGCCTTGGGCCGCCCTCTGTTTACATGCATCGAAATATACATTAGCATAAATAAGTCTAAAAATAGTTTCTGCTCTACTCATGCACATTATGATTGCATACCACAGTTTTGTGGTTGTGATGTAGAGGGCATGATGCGATGCCATGCCATGTTGTAGTTGCATTCTGTCTCTTGTTCTACTACCTTTCACGATGTCTTCTTTTTTCGGTCCTGCTGCAAGCCCACCATGTAAGACCAGCCAAGTTCTGGATGATGTTTTCGCATGAGGCTCATCTGACCTTGGACTCATCATGCGACCCGGACTGACCTCCTGAGGCGGACTATGCAAACCAAGGGTGTGGCCGTCATCAACAAATGCACTAACAACAAATGAGAACAGAACGAAACCATCAAGAGCTGCAGCACTGTCTGACGTGGCATCACTACTTGTCCCCTACCTGGCACCTCTGGCAACTCCCGGGCCAACAGATCGCAAATCACTGGAAGATGCAGCTAACGAACACATTATCACACTCACAGAAGTCAGGCGTCGTCTCAAACTACCGGACAGCAGTGGCAGCAGCAGGAACAGACCATTGAAGCAGTCTTGCAATTCGTGAGCGATTGACTGCATGCCAAGTTGCAAGTGAACAGCTGGCCGTTGCTTTTGCGGTTAACTGTCAGAACAGCAGGAAAATTTGTCTCTCGCTGATGCACCACGTCATCGACGAAATCGACCATTACGTCGTGCATGACTGCGAAGCCCGTAGCCAGTCCAGCTTGCGGGCTTCCAATCTGTCGTTCTGCTGCTGTGACAGCCAATGGATCCTTCAGGATGCCATCAGCTCCGACCAGTGCCCCGCACGAGCTGTCGAAACACTCTTCTTGGTTAAAGCCGTACAACTTCTGAAATCCAAGGCTAGCATGTAGAATCGGGAATCCCTTGGTCGCGGCGTCGCAGAGCACAAAGCTCTCCTGCACTCAGAGGAGATCTCTCAGAGCACACACCCCCCAACTTTAGCGAGAGCAAGTCGCGTCGGCGTCGGGCCTCCTCCGAGAATCCTGGTGCCTTCAGCGGCTCCATTCCGAGCTACGGCTGGAAGCAGATGGACGAGTCTTCTCTGCTTCAGCCGCCTCCACAACGGGCACCACGGGGGCTACGGTAGTGCCGGCTCAGACAAGTTTTTGAGAGAGCCCCACTGCCCCGGGCCTCACGTCCAATCAGCAGAAGCAGCAATTGCGCTGCGTCTGCCAAGTGTCGTAAGCCAGTTGTGGAGCCGTGGAGCCTGGGTAGTTCTGCACTGCGCTCGCCAGCTGGGACAGCCGCAGGAGGGCACTGTAGCAGGTAGCAAGTTGCAGGCCAAGGGTCTTCAGAAGCCTGTGACCTTGGGCTTGAGCAGGATTCCACCAAGAATGCTTCCAGGAATCTTTGAGCCAATGATACCCCGTTGAACTGTGGTGGTGGCACTGATCGGAAGGTCTCAAGAAGTCATGCAAGATTGACTTGCAGAGTGCTGCACGGACCGAGTCCCTACGCATCTGTCTAGCAAGCTGGCAGCTAGCCTATTTTGTTCCGCGAGCAAAGCTGACGCAGGCATTGTTTACCGCATGGAGGAGTACATGTTTGATCCGCAGGCCATCACTGCAAGGGCGCACTGCCTCGGGCTTCGGCAATCAAAGTTGCTTCCCAGGACTGCCACCACGGCGACGGTTGGCAGAAGACATGATTGCCCATCTTTCCGAGGGCTGCGGAGCAAGGTCCAAGCAAAAGTTCACAACACAGGCGATAGTCGATTGCGCACTGTGCTGTGTCAGTGCAGCTAACTTCGGGTGAGACAGTGCAGGGAGACTGGGAGGTTGGAAGAGATAGGCTCCGACTGCTCTGGCTGGAAGTTGCCAAGTCACTCAGCAAGTCAGCTGGGCATCAGGTATCTTTCTTGCAAGTCTCCGGTTCCTCCTCCGACTCACGGAAGAGAGAGACCATGGTGCTCAGGACTGTGCGGGCGGCAGTCAGCTCCCAGTTGACGACGGCCCAGGGAACCTGTCACTTGTTGTCCCAGGTGCCTACACACACTGCCGTTTAAGGGCCCTCAACTACAACATGAAGGGGCCAATTACGGCTACTCACCTGGCCAAGATGCTCGCAAGAGACGATTCTCTGGCTTCCTGCTGACGTTTTCAAGGAAAGTACGAACTCTGCCACTCAGATGGCTCTCGTACTGATGGACAGCTCCCTGTGACATTGTCCAAATGGCCCCGTCGGCCACCTTGCTTGCCAAAATCTTCTCGATGACCGACGATTGCTTCAAGGAGGCCTGTGAATTGTCCACCGTCTTTAGAAATGCCAAAAGGTCGCTGAGTGACTGCGAGCGACTCAAACTCTTTCCACGCACTCGAATCTCGCCTTTGTAATTCTGCGGGGCATTTGTGGCCTCGAACAAATCCTGCATGTTTTCAGGCGTTCGGGCCTGACTGTAATTTCGACCTAAAATGAATCGCTGAAGTCTCTTGGGCAGGAGCTGCCCCACTGAATACTGGAAGATGCGACGCCGGAACTCGGGGCTCATTTCTTCAAGAATCTCTTTTCTGGTGTCCTCATCGAGCTCCAGGTTCACTAGCAAGAGTACTCGAATCCAGTCATACAGCGGTCGCATGATTGCTCTGCTAAGTTTTTCCACAATCTCGAAGGGAGAATCATTCAGCAGCTTGCCTACCGTTTGAGGCAGTAGCTGCAGCGCACCGTCGTCAGACTCATAAGCCATCTGAATGAAGTAGAGCAGCAGACATGCAGCGGCCAAGCCAAAGAAGCTGAGAGTTGATGCGACGAAGAAGAGCAAATGCAGCAGCCACGGGTACTGCCAGGCAAGAACCACCATCATCCAGCAGCTGCCCAGCAAGGCAAAGGCCATCGAAGCCACGAGCAGAGAATTGCCCATCGCGACATGGAAAAGCTGTCAAATCTGTCTAATCTCCTATACATGACTTCTTGAAGTGACGAAGAAGGCATTCCAAAATGCGCAGCAAGCACGACCCGTCTCTTCACTCCAGGAAACGATGCCCGTCCGAGGCCGAGGCACCACGGGTCCCAGACGGAGCAGGGGGAAGCTGTAGGCAACAAGCTCGAACACAGATATTCACAAGCTCCAGTGGCCCAACAGGACTGCAAAGAGATGGGCATGTCACATCGTTACGCCGCGCCAATTTCTTCTGGAGTGGTGGCATTTGCCAACCCAGCTTTGCACATCCTTGCAGGGCGGTTCCTTCAAGGCTTGCCGCCGGAGAGCTATAATATATCAAATGTTATATAAATCAGATTACATATCGCGTTACGCACGTTATCAAATCCAAGAATAAGTACCAGCCTGAGTCTGTTTCTAAATGTTGTAACCTTGGACCACCGGGCCGTCGGAGTAGGACGCTGGAGCTTTGGGGCTTTCGGGTGCCCGACCCTTGGCCTAAGTCGGCTGTTGCCTTCTTGGCATAGCCCTTAAGGCAGGCCTGGGCTTGTGCCAGATTCACATGCAGGTGCTTGTGTAAGAACCTGATATAACATGGGATAACATAGCGTAACACAACAACCTCACATGAGCTTACAAAGCGGAATAGACGACAATACCAAGCGATATGCTATGCTTTGGCAAAAGAATCACTGGAATGCGATACAAGCTCATACATGATACATGATCGGACCGCATTACACCCTGTCACACATATACTTCTCCTTCACTGACCTGACCTTGGCCTCTCAGGATGCCAAGGTCTACGAGTCTACCCGTTGTGGTTCCTGGGAGCCAGGGCAGTGACGCAGCGCGGTGGTTCGTCAACCCGAGGCAGTCGAGGCGCGATGGCGAGGCGTCTTGCGCGTCAGACTCCTCTTCTGGAACGAAGCTTGTGTTGTAGGACTTGTCCTTGGCAGCCCATGAAGCGAAAGTTGAACTTGCAGGCTTCAGCCAGCAACTGGGAGCTCTGCCGTGCGAGCATGACTCCTTAGCTGGGGGTCATAGTCATGATGTGCCTTCTCTAATTTTACCAAAACATGCGCCTCGCTGAGGCATTAGACAAAGCTTACGTTGCATCTGAATTTCAAAAACCCAATGATGCTGGCCGAGGGGGGGTAGGAATATGAAATCTTGCTGTTCAATGTTTTTTTGAATGCTACACTCTACCAATTGCAATCTGCCGTCGCGGATGAGAGAAGCCACCACACAAACTCATCTCACGATCATGTCACGTTGTCCAGTTCAGACGGGTATGGGGGGGGGGCCGACACCGCATACACACCTGGCGCCCCACAGCCATGTAATATTCAAGCCGCGCTCGAAGAATTCGAGACATGCTATGCCAAAGCTTTGGTGCACTTCTGCCAGAAAACGAAGCCCCAAACGGTGGCCAATGCAGAACAACCAACGTGCACTCAAAGTCTCGCTGGAGATGATCCGAAACCTTCAGACTTCTCCTGGGCGATGCTATGAGCCAATGTCACATAGAAGCATTCTATGGTATGTTACAGTATGGTATGGCATCTGTAGTATATTATGGGAAAAAGTATATTACGGCATATCATGGCATATTATGATTCAGAAGTGTGGGCCCCGCTGCAGGTAAAACCGGCACTGAGACCCGCGCAGTTTTGACATAGCTCCTCGCTGCACGAATCGGTGCAGTGCAGTACAGCGGGCTCAGCGTTCTCACTGCAGTCTAGTTTCGAAGGAGAACCATTCTCAGACTTTTCCTGGGCAGACAAGCTCAAACTCGCAACAGTTGTCTTCAGCTCCGCCGCCTTGACTAATACTTTCCGAGGTCGCTGCCGTCTTGACATTGCTCCTTGCGCGAGCTTTCAAAAGAAAAACCGTACATGAGAAGCGCTGGATTCAGAATTTAAAGACCATTTGCAGAGCAGAGCGTCACGGGAGAGTCTGCTTCGGACTTTGCCTCACATGGCTCTGTTGCAACTAGCAATGAAATGCCATGCTCTGGGCTTTTTGCCGTCCGGCTGTTGCTCCTGAGCTGCACGGGAACGTGACAACTTCTCCACCGAGCCTCTGATGAAACGACTGACAAGGAAACAAGCCGCAGCCAAGGCTCGCGGGTGACACATCCTCAAAGCCATGCTTCGATGTTTCCTCAACGTCGCTACGAGTAGTAGCGATGGCTAACGGCTAAAGGTGGAAGCACCCATCCCCACAACGCAGAAAGCCAAGCTCGGCGCCGATTTGCCGTGGCTCCTCACCAAATGCCAAGCTAATGCCGCGAAGGGCTTGGTCGGAACTTTACAGCCCAGGCACGCTGGGGACACTTCCTCGAACTCATACTCAGATCTCTCCTGCGAGGAGGAAGCTAGCAAAGGATAGGATGGCTCGGGACAGACTGGGCTCGGTGCCGTTCTGCTGTTGCTCCTAAGCAGCTGCAGCGTGGAAGCTAGAGTAGCAGACAACAGTACGAGAAAGCATTTCGCACAGCCCACAGCCAAGCGGCATTGGCGATACCTCCGAGAACGCATATTCGGATTTCTCCTCAGATTCACTCCATCCCAGACCCTCCCAACTGTGTTGCCGCAAACTCAACTCAGGCCAGCGCCGTCCTAGCATGGCTCCTGAGCTTTGCACAACCTTTTCGCGAAAACACCCAGACGGCTCTGCCACCAAGCTTCGCGGGAGAGGCGTCAAAGCTGCGCTCAGATTTCTCCTCATGCGCGACGTGGTTGGCACATGGCTGGATGCTGGAACCCCATCTACATTTCTGACATGCTGAGATCCACACCGTCTTGCTGAAGGTCCTAAGACATGGGTGATCCATGGGTGCGGCTGATGGCCACAGCGCGGAAAAAAAAAGAACAGGCCCTGGCACGCTGTTCCCATGGACCTGGGCCACATCATTCTCGACAGCCCGTGTCTGGAGTATAGACTGGAGCATAAGTGCTGGCGAGACACCTCCGTTGCCTCGTGGTCGTGGTTGTTGGTGGACTGTAGCGTGCGATCCTCCTGTGAGTCGGCCTCCTCTGTGGGTCTTTTGGGTGTAGGCGGCTTGGTCTCGGGAAGCTCTGCGTCTTTGGGCTCCCGTGCTTCGCTTCCTGGATCCCCCCTTCGCTGTCTTCGAGAAGCGGGTCTCGGCGCATCGGTCTCCGTCTCAGCGCGGAGTCTCGGTTTCGGGCTCTTGCTTTTGGTAACAGCGACCGGTCCCACGAAGCTCTTGGCGCGTATGAACTTGCTCCTGCGGCGTTTCGGCTCCGCCAGCGCCTTGAGGCGTTCCAGGGAGACGACGCGGGCGGGAGCTGAGCTAGGCTTTGCCGGCGTTGCGCTTGCGTTGCTTCCGCTTGCAGGGCTCGATGGTGGCCTCTCGAAGTGGACAGTGGCCAAGGAAAAGGAAGGGGTCGAATCGGCCGAAGAGGAGAGGATGCGTGTGGTAGTGCTTAGCCTTGGCCTTGTCGCGCTCAGTGGGTTCACCACTTTGACCGTCTGCTTTGGCTGGCTCAAGCGCTCACCGAAGTCCACTGTGGTTTCCCGCAGCGCCCGCGGTGTCCGAGGAGCCTCGTCCCATGCGAAAGGTCCCACCAGTTTGGCCAACAACCGCGGCAGCACCTCGGCGAGAGACCCTCAAAGGTTAAAGTATGTTAGCAGATGTTAGCAGGCTCAGTCCTGAGTGGCTGCACATCTACGTAACAAGGCTGTGGCACTTTGTACCGAGTCCGCACGTCTCGCGCGTAGGGCGTCGGGAAGGAGAGGTGGTGCCAACCGGAGGCATCGAGCCAAGACGTCGATCTGTCTGCGATCCCAGGCAGCTTGGAGTGCGCCGGGCGGAGCACCGGCTCGCTCCTTCCCCGCCACACGGAGCCACTACTTGTTTTCTGTCTCCCCGCTCCCGCTCCCCTCTCCTGGTCGTGGAACTCCGCGTCTGGCAGCTTCGCTCCATTTTGGCCTCGCAAACTGGAGGCCACATGCCCTCTTGATCCCTGAACCCCCACCAACCAAGCTGCACGAGGATATGGGCGCTATGAATCTATGAGAATCGTGCGTCCTGTTTGTCACTGCTCTTTAGTCCATAGTTTGGGTCGCTTCGTTCATTTGACGTCGCCAGCACATGAGCTCAAATGCCGGTTAACACCCAAAGGGAACAGAGCCTGGTCGGCCTAGGTCTTTAGTCTGACTCTGGGTTGCGCTCCACCGTGCATGTGACACAGGACAGCCGGGGAGCCTGTAGCAACTTCATCCAAGAAGACTGGGGGCGGCGATCATTTACGCCTGCTTGCAAGATGTGAAAGCGTGGCGGCACACTGAAGTTACCATCTCCAGAGCTGGCGAAGCCTGCAAGCTGGTCCGGGGCTTCTTGGAAGCGACTTCCCCTTCTCGAGCCCGTGCTGCATCTTGGAGCAGGTGCTTTTAAGCGAAGATGTGAACTCTGCTGTGCCAATGGAGACATGCAAGGACATCTGCTTGCCCCTTTGGCTCTGAAGCAGAACAAGAGCCGGGACATCAGCTTGGCTGCATGCCGGTAGCATGTGAGACGTGGACTACCACATGTGCTACATGCGGAGGGGCTGCACCGTGCCGGGTACAGTCAGGATCTTTGCGTTGAGAGCTCTTCGCACTTCTGGCTGTCTCGGGCGAATACGGGATCTCCTGCTGTCCCCTGGGCTCCGAAGGCTCCGAGGTGCGAACACGCATCAGAGCCTCTGCAGCTGCATCCCCCTCTTAAAAGCTCCATTTCAGAGCCGCCAAATCAGAAGCTCGTTGAGGCAGATGCTGCATGTGCTGCCATAACGATTTGCTCCCGTTTCTGTGCCCAAGTGCGTTTGGCCCGGTCAGCACAAACACCGCTCTAGTAATTCGGGCTTTTTCAACGCACCGGATATCCGACCACCTAGCAGGCACTGCGTGTTGCAGCCACCCGCTTGCGGACAGGAATCTGCTGAAGTTACTCTCGCACCGATTTTGGCATCAAGGACTCCGCAACCTGACAATGCTTCCGAAAAGGAACCGGCAGAAAGGTCACGCAGACTGGTTTCAGGCAGCTGCTGGTAGATTTGGTGCCCTGCCTCATCGAATTCCACGTCTTCCTCGGCTTCTCGGCCATCTCTCTGGAGCGCCTCCTCGCGCAGCTCCCTCAACTGGGCCAGGACGTTGGCGAACCTCGAGGGGCCCAGGTTCCTTTCAGGGCTCTGCTTTTTGACCTGAGGACGGGACTCTGCGGTCATTTTTTCCATCAGGGTCCTTGGCTTTGGCAACTCGGCATGACCTTTTTCAGATTCGCCCCAACTTCTGAACAAGCCGCCACTGCGTTGACTTCACCAGGGACTTGGTGAGGCGGAGCTGTTCCTTCACATCCTTCACCTCAACACCGGATGAGGACATATCGATAGGGCTTGAAAGCACCCACAGCTTCGCCCTTCGCGGTCTGCCGCTAGGGAACGGTGGCGGCATTGCCCCCTCTCATGTTCAGCAGCAGCTCCAGGGCTGCAGCAAAGTCGAGGCCGTCCTTGCCGTTCTTGGAGAGGTCCTGAGATGCGCTGTGATGCTACGGCTTACGACCGGCACACAGAAGCCACAGGCCTCGTAGATCATGTCCAAGCTGTCCACCAGAGCGATGACATCCACGCCCTCTCCTGCGGCATCCCCACTGATGCGCTGATACTCTTGGCCTGTGTGCTTGCTCCTGAAAGGATCACAGCAATATCTGGCTCCAGAAGGAGCTTTTGGAATTCGAACTGCGTCAGAGGTTCTTCCTCAATTCGCGGGCTTGCATTGCTGTGCTGCGTGACCTTGCGCTGACGCTCCGCCGACAAGCCGCAGGATTGTAGTTGAGAGCATCCATCTTATCTCGAAGCTCGCTGGCCAGGTAAGCCACTGTCAGGCCTGAATATAACGGACTCGCCTTGTCAGCTCATGGCTTGGCCCAGAGCCGATGCTTTCCTGCCTTCTTTTTCAGTGGTTGATATGACGCGGATCACATCCACCAAGACACCCACCAGCATGTACCTTGAGGAAATTTATTTGCACATAGGGGCCGGCCACATGAATGACTGACTCCGGGCACATGATGGTGATAGAACAGAGGAGAAAGAAGCACAGGATCAGAGGCCACATCCAGGCGCCCGCGTTTCCTGTGCAAGCATGCACGTGGTGCCACCAACAACAGCAACCCCGACTTATACTTTCCAGACGAGAGGCCCAGCGTGGTCACGATTTCACGTTGTTCGGGAAGAATTCCATAAAGCAGCAAATTGTTGACAGACTGCGGCACGTTGGCGAAGTACCTTGCAGTCTGATAATGATGATGATGATGGTGCTGATGCCGATGATGTTGATGATGTTGATGATGATGATGATGATGATGATGATGATGACACGACCGTGTAAAAATCCGCTTCCTGAGGAGTCAGGCGGTCTGCAGACATGCGGCTGGTTCCCCACTGATTGGCCCTCAGTGAGTTGCCGGAGCACCAGAGCGAAGACATAGATGATCATCATCCAGAGAGCGAAGAACACCACACTCAGTTGTGGACACTACAGCTTCGCAGATTCTGTGCAGCGCAAGCGACCAGCTGAGATCAGCTGAGGCACACTGACCTGGTAGCAAGCCTGATGCCTTTCATAATGATCGTAAGCCTGCATCCAAGGCCAAGGCAAAGGACAATCGATCTGGTTTGCATCGATGTAGCACCGTCTTCATAACACATCAGAGGTGCTCAGGCACTGCGCGGAGCAGTTTGGCCATGCGCGAGAGCCGCAACAGCTTCACCATCCGGAACATGCGCAGGGTTGAGAGGTCCTGCCATCAGCAAGCAACTTCTGTCCAGAGCCAGCCGACCATGTGAGCATCGATTCTGCAGGATCGGCAAGGAAAATGCAAGTCAGAGAAGTCCAGAGCATTTGCCAAGTCGATGTTGAACCCCAGCACGATGATCGGCATTATCCACGTTTCAATGACCATGGTAAACACCAGCAGCGAGTCGAAAACGAACCAGCCTCCCGTTCATTTCACTTCATTATGTGGGTCTGGCTGGGGAAACGCGATCTACACAGACAGCTGACACAACAAGAAACTCCGCTCTAGACTCTAGACCAAGCAACCGTCCCGCAAACACCGCCACTTCTCGGCAAAAGCCATGAAGCGGATGAAGACTTCACCAAAAAAGTACGTGCAGAAGAGGTTTTCAACCTCGGATGTGCAGCTCATGGATCGCCTGGGGCATTGACGTACGAGTGTCACAGCCAAGCAAGACGCCGAAGCTTGCTCTCCCTATCAGCGAAACTGCAGCTGAGAAAACGAGAATAAACGGTGGGCTGGCATTGGTGATAACGGCTGCGCTGTTGAGGTCGGCATCTACAGCGATCCACCCAGCATTCAGGATAACCTCGGGCTGCGTCGGTGCAAAAGATTTGACTTTACTGGAAAATGCCATGAACACCACAAGCGAGCGACCATAAAGAGGCTGAGCCAGTCGAAGGCTGTGCTTCGCGCGATCCTCCGGATCTCGAAGTCTGCGTTTCTTCAATTTCGGCCGATACTGCCTCAAGACCTACTGTGTGTGCATGGTACGCAGAGTAGATTCTGAAAGAACTGCATACGACACAAAACATTAGGCTACGGCTGCTTACATGCGTGCACACGTGCGCATAGGCAAGATATGTCATACATACCTGCCTCCCTACCTACTTACCTACCTACCTACCTACCTACCTATCTATCTACCTACCTACCTACCTACCTGCCTACCTACCTACCTACCTACCTACCTACCTACCTACCTACCTACCTACCGACATACATACATACATA